AAAAAGATGCACTAATGGTAAATTAAGCACCTGAAAAGCGGCATGGTGGTACATGCCTGTAATCCCAACACTTGGAAAGCTGAGTCAAGAGGATTTCCAAGAATTAGAAGACAGCCTGGGGTCCATAGTGAGTTCAAGGCCAGCCTTGAACTACATAGCAAGACCCTGTCTCAAGGAAACAAAAACAAAACAAACAAACAACAAACCATTGTATAAAAAGTTACTCAGCATCTTCTTGTCATTAAGGAATTGCAAATTAAAACAACAGTGAGATTCTACTACACACCTCTTAGCGTGCCTAACATCCAAACCTGACCAGACTAAATGCTGTTGAGGATGTGAAGAAATGGGAACACTGGTATGGGAATGCATTTTTAGAAGATAATTTGACATTTCCTTACAAAACTGAATACAGTCTTTCCATATATTTCAGCTGTCAAGTTCCTTGTTATTAAATTGGTTGGGAGCTTATAAAAACTTACATATGAATGTTTATAGCAGCTTTATTCATAATTGCCAAAAGTTGGAAGCAACCAAGATGTCTTTCAGTACATGAATAAGCAAACTGCACGTGCCCGTATATTGAAGTATTGTTCAGAAATAAACTACTAAGCCCAAAAAACAGTTTGAGGAACTTTAAATATCTGACAGAAGCCAGTCTGAAAAGTTCATATATTGTGTAATTCCAGCTAGTTCTATGACATTCTGGATAAGGCAAAGCTATAGAGACAGTAGAAAGAGGCTATTGCAAAAGATTTGGGATAGAAAGGAGAGGGTAAAATGAATGTGTGAAGTGTGAAAGATATTTAGGCCAGTTAAACTATCCTATATGATTCTGTAACATGTTACAGACATGTGACATTGTGCAGTCCAACATCCCATAAAACCAGTACAGTGAAAAAAGTGAACACCAGTGTGAACTGTGGACTTTGATTAATAACACAGCAATGTTGGTTCACCAGTTGTGACAAATGTGACACACTAATCCAAGATGTTAATAATAGGTGGGGAGAAAGGGTGTATGGAAGTTCTATACTTGCTGACGATTATAAACCTAAACTTTTCTTAGCCTAGAAGGAAGGAAGGGAAGGAGAAGAAAGATAAAACAGAAAAGCTGGGCACCCCAGCTACTCAGGAAGTGAAAACAGGATCATAAATCTGGACAACTCAGCAAGACCCTGTCTCAAAAAAATTTTTAAAAGATGAGGGAGGAGTAATTCAGTACTCCCTGGGTTCAGTTGTCCAGTACTAGGAAGAGGACAGAAAGAAAAACAAAATGACCTACCAACAGCTCACAGCTAATGATTTACCTTGCATTTTCTTTTCTTTTTTCTCCAATACTTTTCTCTGTTAGCTACTTAACATTTTGTCAGTAGGTAACTTCATGTGATTATAAAACAGTTTGTGCCAAATCATGAAAAAAGCAAATATAGATACTTTTTCCTTTGTACACAGTGTTATATGTATGCCACAATATTAATATAAGTGGAAGAAAAGTTACAGATAATTTCTGCTTTAAGCTTTTTCTGTGCATTCCAAATGTTATTTGTAAATTAATATCTAAGGGTTAAAATAGCATATATGTATCCTACTACAGTTTAATTGGTTCAGTTAACAATTATAAGAGGTATTTGTATAGAAATAAACAAGAAAGAGACCTTGAGAATGGGAAGGAGAGATTAACAGTAAATAAGACTTCACCCCAGCAGTACATAATGATCTGACTGGTTGTTGACAGTTTCATCAATTATTGTAGCTTATGAAGGGATTGATTTTTAAATTTTGTTATGCACTTGCTCGTTTTCTTACTTATTATTTCCTTGTGCTTTTAAAAGAAGATTCTGTTACCTGATTTTCACCAAGTTCTTTCATTTCATTGGTTTAAATTATTTTTAAGTCACATTTTTTCCTCTCGGAACTTTTAAAAAGAAGTAAGTATGACTTCAGTGATTCCTCAGTATAACAATTGGTGATGAAATTTAGTTCATTGTTTTCAACAATTTTAAATTAATCTTGAGAGAAACAGGTACTTGTTGCTTAATTACAGGCTCCAGATGACGTTTTGGAATGTTTCTATCCTGTTATGAAGAATAATTCCGCTTGATTATGTATTTTATATCCCAAAAGAAAACCATTTCAAATTCAAATTTTATTGTTATTCTATCTTTATGGAGCTACTCTTGTTGATTTATATCTAGAGTGTTTAGGTTACTCTTTGTGCATGGTGTTTATTTACTTCATTTGGTTTTAACTAAATGAGTAGGAATTTAGAGACTTAGGTAGTTTGGGAAGAATTTAAAATCATTGGCCTTCTTGTTTATGCCTCTGTATAAGTGAAATACTTGTGTATGACTTCTTCCTATAAAATGGAAGATGTACTCTTAAACCTAACTCTTTGATAATCATGTATGTTTTATTTTGAAATATGCCTTACAGCCTGTTTTAGGACTAAAAGAAAGATTACTAATATTTAAGTGAGTTTAAAAGGAAGGAAAACCTCTTCCTCTGGAGAGTAGGATATTTGGGTTTATAATTTTAGTTTTCCTTTGGTTATTTTCTTTTCAGGTGAATTTTGCAAACACTGTGTTTTCTTTGACTACAATTATATGCTCTATAAATTACCGTAATCTGAGGATAGTCAATGTCAAATTTTTAAGGTGGTCTATTTCAACATATCCTTTTAAGAAAATCTACTACATGAAAATCCAGTTTTATACAAAAATGAAAAGTATTTGCTTTATGAGGCTTTTTTGTATTAAGGTCGTGTAACTTATATTGAGAATATTCTTTAAATTGATAAAAATATCACTTGAAGAAAGCATACCTTTTAAGGAAAGTACTCATTACATAAAACAAGGGTTATATTTAAAAAAAAAAAAAAACAGGGTTATATTTGCATACTGCAAGAACAGAAGGGCCAGCAATGTAGCTCAGCAGCACAAGTGCCTGCCTGGCAAGCACAAAGTCCTGAGTTGAGTTTCCGATACCAAAAAAAAAAAAAAATGTCACAAAATTTCCTTGGTATGAAGCAGCATAGAAAGCTGTCCCTTTATGACCATTTCAACCCTACTTCTTAAGAACATTATCTTTGAATACAAAATACAGTAAGTTTATTTTCTAATTGCAGTCATTTAGTAGATAGGCTAGTTTATTAGCTATTTACAGAACTTTGGTTCTGACTTTCTAGTTGAGAATGAATGCTAATGAGATGCTATTATATCTTCAGGTTTTGTAGAGAACAGATAATCATAATAATAAAGTGTGTCTGGCTGGCTTTCTGGTGGCTTGTGTAAAATGCTTTGACTTTGTGTGTTTCTGTTTCTTTCTAGGCAGACTCTTTGAATTAGATAGAATTGTATTTTCACAAAGTAGTTTCTTGGTTTTTCTAAATGCTGGTTCACAGTTATATACTATTGAAAGTAGTTGTATACTATTGAAAGTTGTATACTATTGAAAGCTTTGTGTTCAGCCTAAATTGGCATTGGGTTTTTGTTATGGTTGTCACTTGATACATTGCTCAACACTTTCATTTTTGAATTTAACAACTTTTTTTGAATTAGTTATAGATTTGTATGTAGTTCTAAGAAACAACACAGGGAAATTCTATATATTGTTTACCCCGTGGTAACAGCTTGCATAGCTATGACAGTGTCACAACCAGGACATTAACAATAATATAATCTGATACAGGAGCATTTCTGATTTCACAAGGATCTCTCCTTTTGCCCTCTTATAAATACAACCACTTCCCTTCCACTTTTCACCCTGCACATAAGTACACAATAGCCACCAATCTATTCTCATGTTTGTATTTTGTTATTTCAAGACCATTACATATGTGTGGAATCACACAATATGTAACCTTTTAAGAGTAACTTGTTTGGTGGGTGGGTTGGTCAATTTGTTTGAAATAGGGTCTCACTTTGTTGTGCTCAAACAGCATCAGCCTTTGAAGTAGTAAAATTGGTCTTCAGCTCTCAGTATAATTCTCTGGAGACTCATCTAGGGGTTGCATTTATTAATAACTCATTCTTTTTATTAGTAAATAGTATTTCATGGCATGAATGTACGATAGTTTGCTTAATCATTTACCTGTTGAAGGACATCTAGGTTGTTTGCTGTATGGTCTTTTTCTCATTATTAAGTTGCTATAAATATTGTACAGGGTTTTTGCAAACACACATTCTCAAATGGTTAGGAATGTGATAGTTGAGTCATATAGTGGCTGGATGGTTGGCTCATATAGTTGGGTTTTTTAAACTAGTTTCTAAACTGTGAAAGTGTTTTCCAAAGTGACTATACCATTTTGCATTCTCACTAGTAAAATACGAGTTTCTCTATTTCCTCACCAACTCCATTTGGTGTTGACACTTAATGTTTTATTTCAGCCTTCCTAATAGGTGTGTAGTGATGAGTCATTGTTTCAATTTTCATCTCTCTAATGGCTAATGATATTGAACAGTTTTACATGTGCTTATTTGCTGCCTATCCTCTTCAATGAAATGTATCATATTTTTTGCTCATTTTCTCTAATCCTTTGTTAATTATGTGGTTTGGAGGTATTTTCCCCCAGTGTGTAATAAATCTTTTCATCCTATTAACAGGGTCTTTTTATGATTCTTCCTAAATTAGTCTGGAAAAGGATAGGATAGAGACTGAGACTGATTATGAAAAACTGAGAATTGTCATTTATTAAAACAACAGGAGCCGATTCAGACTAAAGTCTGGCCGATTGAGTTTGAATCCTGGCTCTGCCTGATGTCTATATGACTCTTGGCAAGTTACGCCCCATTTTCTTATTACTAAGTGAACACAACAGAAGTGAAATATTGTTTATATATTATATGGATAAATGAACTTCAGAGTCCAGGATTTTCTCCAGATGCCTTCAGAAATTAAATATTTTATATGTATAAATGGCTAAAAATCATCTGTAAATGTAGAAAAATTAAGTACAAGTTTACGTGTGTTCAGGACTTGAATTTTCTTTTTATTTGCAGCTCAGATCGTCTGATAGAAGAAACAATAAGGTAAGAATGATTTGTTTTACTTTGTTGGTACTTGGTTGTGTATATATTAATAAACAGATCAATTTAATCCTCTTCATTAGAGTGAAAATCAAGTCATTCTCTTTAAAGATGAGAATTTCATTAGATGGTAATATATTTTTACTGTGCCCTTCCCTTATAGGAGGCATTTAAAGCCCCAAACATTTATTTTCGACAGTTAACTGGAATTAGGCTGTTTTATTTAGGTTAATTTTTCCAGTGAATTCATCCTTGATATTTAATTCATACTCAATTTTTTATTACTTTTAAAAGTGAAAACAGTCATGATTTGATAAATGTCTGTCAACTGAAATAAGTATCTTTCATCAGTACATGAGCTCCCATCACATTTTGCCAGGAATTAAAAGTTTCTCTACAATTCTTTTAGTTTCCTTTTTTTTGTTTTCTTCCTTTGTATTTATCCTTGCCCTCATCTGATTTTGTAGGGCAAGGCTACTCAGATACAGGTATAAAAATTAGGGCTACCTCAAGGAATAGGACACTTGAAACCACGAAATCATTGCTGCTATTATTGTTCTGGTTAAACAGCATCATAGTTGGTCTTTTCATTTTAAATTATCTTTTGTTTCAAAATATGGTAGGTAACACAAAAGTGAAATTTCCCAGAACATGATTGCTTATGGGTAATGTAAAATTTAAGTAATAGTTATTTCTGCATATTCCATATGTTTGGAGACCTTTTAAAATATACAACTGAATATAGATTTTAACATCAATTTATTTAAACAACTAACCATTGGTGAGGGGAAAAAGGAAGGAAAAGAAAAGAAAAATAGAAGGAAAAAATAGAAACAAAGCTTTTGTTAATAAGGAGAGAAAGAGGGGTTGAAGGGATGGGACGTAATTGGGGAATAAAGAAGAATCAAAATATACCATGTACAAATATATATTCCCTATGATGAATGTCATAATTATGTATATTAAAGTGTACCAATAAAATTAATTTAAAAAAATAAAACTTAAATATAAAAAACTAAGTTAATATTTATAAATTTATATAGCTTTACCTATATAACTAGTATTATATGTTGTTGAAACAATAAATGTGAGTTTAGTTCACAGAACAGGTAAGAAAGTTTAAGTTCCAGTAAGCACATCAATGATTTATCCTTTTAAAAGCATTATATATTATTTGGAGCTTGTATTTTGCCTCTAAGTATCTGACCCTTGAAATAATAGACTATATTTCACTTAGCTCAACTTCAAGTGATGGGGTGAGATGAGAAACTATGTCTAGATATACTTTTATGTGGTACTGGAAATCATGCATATTCAACAAAGTAATAACTTAATGTATGATGATAATGTCCATTCTCTAAGGAATACAGAGTGCTTTGCAGAAATTATTTTTTAATTTCCATTCACTTGTGAGCAGAAGTACACAGGAGATAGTGAGACTTACAGTTCAAAAAACAAAGGTATATATGGTTCAAAGATTGGCTCCGATTATCCACCCTAGGTTTGAATCTTACTACCTTATATGAGACTCTGACACCTGTTTTTAAATAGCGGGTGCTTTGCCCAGGGCCCCTACTGAATTTCAGGCATAATTTTATCAGTTTCCATTTCTGCTGCTTACTTCATTTCTTGCTGATCACTTGTGCTTTCAGAAGTGCCCTCTGCAGTTTCTTCTCAGTTCTTAGCCTTCATCATTTTGGTTAGTTCCCATATGACAACCTGGATTTCTGGGTTCTTTGAGCCTTTGTATCGCTCTTCCTCAGTTCTCTGCCCTTATGCAAGGAGCTAGCCACCAAGGCCTCCAGCTAATTCTTCATCCCCATTAGCAGAGTCTATGTATGTTTTGAGTGTGTAGAACTCTGTCACAGATTTCTTTGACCCAATTGTCTGCTTGACCAGAAACCTACAGTCATCCTTCTGACCATTTTTCACAGATTCAGTTTTTTCCCTGAAGTTTCAGCTATGTAGGGTGTTTTTTTAGTGTTTCTGTTGTTATTCTTTTTGTTCTACTGTTCTACAGTGTTTCAGTATCCTCTTGTCTATATATTGCCTGACTCAATTTTATTTCTTCTTGCCTGTTCAAATCTTGAAATTAAAGTTTTAGACCAGATATGGTGTATGCCTGTAATCACAGCACTTGGGAGGCTGAGGCAGGAAGATTGCTGCGAGTTCAAGGCCAGCCTGGACTACATAGTGAATCAAAGGCCAGCCTAAACTACATAGCAAGACCTTGTCTAAAAAAAAAGGAGTGCCGGTGTTTAACTCAATGGTCTAAGCACTTGCCTGGCAAAATGCAGTCATGAGTTCAATTCCCCTTACCAGGAAAAAAAAAAAGAAAAATTAAAGTTTTCACTCATTTACCATTTATTTAGAGTAATCACCTAGCATCTCACTTTTATTAGCTACATGGTGGTTTATTCTCTGAGGTTTTGCCTTTCCAAACATACAGTCATCGGCTCTCAGAGTGGCCACACTAGTGGAGACTCAAGCAATGAATAACCCGGTAGTTTTTTCCCTTAGAGGCCACGCATCCTGTCAGCTGCTAGACTATAAGTTTTCTGCCTATAGATCTACAAATAGCAGACATTTTCCAGCTGTAGAACTGGGTCCGATTCAGTCCATCGCTGCATGTCTTATACATGCAGATCCTTGGTCTTACGCTGCCTAGGTTCCTTAAGAAGTAAGGAAATCTAGGTCTTTGCTCAAGAATTGAAGAAAAATCTAGGGCAAAGGATACAGCTCAGCGGCATAGCACCTGCATGGCAAGCACACAGTCCTGAGTTTGATTACTGGTGCCAGAAAGAAAAATCTAGCTTCCCCTACCATCCTTGCCATGGTTCTCTCTTCACACAAAAAAGTGTACTCTCCGCCTGGCTCTCTTCCCAGGAGATCTCAGGGGAACTTGGGGTTTCAGATGGACCTTCCCCAGCATGTCTGCTCTTGTTCTAGTGTTACTTCATGGAAGAAAATGGGCCAAAGATGAGATCAGGAATTTCTACCATCTTCCCAGAATCTCAGTCTGTATTGCTTGCTTTTTTTTTTTTTAATGTTTCATAGCTTCCATTGTCTATAGCTTATCGTCATGTCAGTATCTAAAGCACTCTCATGTATCAAAAGGATACTGACCTTATCCTCTAGGATTTTAATGTTTAATGTGATAGAATGATACAAAATAAGTAGTAGTCACATCCTTTTAACAGAACATCAAAGTAGTCAAATGAAAAGATTGCATTCTGCAGTGTTTTTTCCTCTTTCTTAGTCATATTTGATAAATCTGTGGCCTTTGTTAGCTGGCTTAAAAAGCCAGTATAAACCAGGTGTGGTGCACATACCCATAATCCCAGCACTCTAGAAGCTAAGGCAGGAAGACGGCCAAGAGTTTGAGACCAGCCTGGGCTACACAGTGAATTCAAGGCCAGCCTGAACTACATAGCAAGGCCCTGTCTCAAAAAACAAAAACAAAACACCCACAGTGTAATCCTGCATGGGTACCCCAAATTTGTTATCTATCTGCTATGATTCTTTTTTTTTTTTTGAGAGGGGGTCTCGCTATGCAGATCAGACTGGTGGCAAACAGTTTGCTCATAAATTGGGAAAAGGTTATATATGAATATATGCTTCAGGTTCTTTTTATAGTTACAATTCTGTACTTCCCTCTCAACAATCTTTTTATTAAGAATATTTTAGTAGCTGGGTCCTTTTAAATCTATCTTAAGTTTGTAGTATGTGCTTTGTCTGATAATGTTACTTGTTATTTTAAAGAAAACATAAGAAGTGACCCATGGCTTATACAAAAAGATACCATTGAGTAGCGGTGATGTCATTCCAAAAAAAGGACAATAAGAAGATGTCATGGAAAGTGATTTTCCGTCTGTTATCCTGTTTGGGGCTTTTCAAGATGATAATGTAAAAACTGTAGTTTTAGAGGTTTGATGAGTGCTATGTGCAGAGTAATCTCAGATGCCAATTTGTTTCTTTTTCCCCCCCTTGAAGCATTGCTATGGCTACAAAAGAAAATATGACTTCACAGAGAGGAATGTTGAAGTCTATTCACAGCAAAATGAACACTTTGGCCAGTATCCTTTTTGAAAGTTTGAAATGTATGTGTGGTGTGTGGTATGTGTGCGCTTGTTCTTTTCTGTTGTCGAGGTAGGGCAGGCAGGTACGAGCATCAGTAGCAGCAAAGCCCCTCAGAAATTATATATGAATGCTTTCTACTTTGTGAAAGTTTGTGCTGCCTAGTACCATTGTTGGAAGACTGCACACTGGATGTTTATTGCCAGTAGATACAGGGAATGCGTTTTATAATTATTCACAAAATTATTTTATAATTAATAGTTCCATCCATGCTGGGTCTCCACTATATGTTGTCCAACTTGAAAACCATAAATTATGTTCTTTTTATTTTTCCAGTTTGGAGAACTAGTTAGTGGCAAATATATGCATAGAGTAGAAGCACAAAGTGTTTTCCAGGTTAGATTCACCGTTCATTGTGACCTTTTAGCCTTTTAGTTTCCCACTTTAAATTAAGATTAGTAATACTTTCAAGAGGTCCAGCAAGGAAACGTAATAAGCAGGCCATTCTGAAGCAGTTTTATTTACACTCTGGGAAGATGAGCCTCTTAGGGAAAAAGCTTTGTTCTGCAACCAGTATGAAGAAGGACCTTAAAATTTTCAAAAGTTGAGTATCTTCTGGTCCTAGATAATTTAAGGTTCCTTTTACTTTGATGCCTACTTTTCCTAAGGAAAAGGATGCCCTGGAGTGTATTGGTATTTTCTAATCATTTGTGTTTTGTTCTTGCCTTGTTACTTAGTGCAAAATCATACATCCAAAATCATTTATAGTTTGTATAGTGCTGCACAGGGTACAGAGCACTGTTACATGTAATATGTCACTTTATCATTACCATAAAACAGAGGATGTAGAAATTATTATGGTTGCTTTGCAGATGAAGAATTAGGGTAATAAAGGTGGCTTGGATGAGGTCCACAGCACGAGAAGTTAAGATTTTAAGTTTCTGTAAGATCAGGCTTTTTAAAACTATGAACTTAGTCAGTAGCAAGAGCAAAGGCTACTTAGTGAATACGGTATAAGAGTTTATATTTCATGAAATCACCGAATCTGAAATAGAAGTGATAATTATTTATCTGGGTCATTTAAAATACTAATTAAAACCATTCCAATGTGTGCATTAGAATTTGTTCCCTCTGTTCTTCATGTCCTTTACTGTGAGCTGGATGTATTTCTCCCCTGCTAGACCCTGTTTCCCTTTCCCTGTCTCTCCATCTAACTGTTTCTTCCTCTTCCTCCCTCCCTTCCTCGTGCCCTTCCTTTCTCTCCCTTCTTTGTGTTTTAGGAATTGAGTACAGAAAGCGCCGAGCTACCTCCCCAGGCTTCCCCCATCACCATGGCTCAAGGTGGATTTGAACTTTTGGTCCTCCTGCCTCAGCCTTCTAGAGTGCTTGGATTATATGTATGCCCTATGATGCCCAGCCCCACACAGTTTCTAAAGATTTTATTTTAAGACAGGGTCTCAAGGTAAAGCAGTATCCCAGAGCCCAGCATGATGCCTGGTATTGATTAGCCAATCAGGAATTTACAATGATTCCAAAAGAATGAGTGTTCAAAAAAACAATCAAGTGTTAGGACTCCATAGAGAAAAGTAGCAGATACCTAATTCATATTGACTTAAAGGCGATGAAAGTTAATTTTTCGTGTGACTGTAAAATCCAGGAGTGGAATTTGGCTTAAGGCATGACTGGGTTGAGTGGCTCATATTTTATCATCACGAACCTGCCTTTTCTCGCTTTTTTCCTTTTCTTTCTCTTGTCTCAGCTTTCCTCTGTTAACTTTACTCTCAAGCAGACTTCTTCCTCAGGATGAGAGAAATGGCTATAACACTAGCTTTGAACACTGGGAAAGAAAATTAAGCTGTCACAAAAATCTGGAAGAGTACTGTGCTGGCCTCAGCGTGAGACCCTGCCCACTCCTAACTCAGTCACTGGCCAAGGGTAGAATATTCTTACTAACCAGTCCTCTGTGTGTGTGTACTCCTGGTAATGGAGGGAAAGATCCACTCCATCCTATTTCAATTACTGAACTAGATTATTATAGAAAGAGGAAGGGGTAGTTAAAGGTAGACCGGACAAAACTGTGTCTACCATAAGTGGAATTTCCTGATGCCAAAAACATGTGTATACTCTTCTCTAAGCAAGAAAAGGTTAAGCGTTTTCTCTATGTGAGATTTTTTACTTTGTAAGAGTTTTTGTCTCATAGCAATATTCACTTTTTGTTCCACATTTTTAGAACTGTACTGTTGCTTCTGTTTTTTAAATTAATTTAAAGACTACTTTAATGTCCGTAAATTATATTCTAAGCATGGAGAAAATTCAAAATTAGAAGACATGATCCTACAATATGTAGAATATGTAAGTATATAAATAAATGTCCCAGGTCTGCATTTTGTTACAGAAAACTGCAGTGAAGATTCTCAGGGCAGTATTATTGGTGGTTTTTGAACTTTTTCTGTTAACAGTGAAGATGTACCTGCAGCTGTATTTTCTGAAATGGTTGCCAGGTGTACAAAGGAATCTGGAATGTAAAACAAGAAAGAGGATAGAGATATCTTGAAATACAAAGTAAAATGTAGCTAATGATGGATATAGTACCCCTACAATTGAATTTTTCCAATCTTTGCTCCCCTAATAGGATGTCCCCCTAATAGGATAGCTAGAAACTTTTCACCTACTTTTTTACTATATCCTGCCTACTTCTGCAAAGTAAATTTTAAATGTTAAATAATTCACCAGTACTTTAGTACATATACCTTAGAGTTGGTTCTAAATTAATTCAATCTAAGAGTTATTTCTCTATGGGGAAAGGATCAGATTTTCCTCAAAATCCTCAAGCTGAAATCCCTTGTCTCCTGAGACAAGTTTGTGAAAAAACAGGGGAACTAGGGAAGAAAACAGAGAAGAAAAGGGGGAGCAGGGTACGGACTGGCTGTACTGTGCCTTTCTGGCCACGCTGGCTCGCACCCTGACCCGAACTTGACAGCAAGCCCTCGGTGTGTCAGTGCCGCCATCAGTATTGCTTCCTCTCTCTTTATTTTTTCCTTCTTGTCATTATTCTTTGTGGACTACACATAAGACTGGGAGACTTGAATTTGTCCCAGTTTTGGAATGGGTTGAAGACTCTCAGCTAATTTTCTTCCTTCCTATTTCTTTCTGGCACTGACTGTTTTTGGAGTCTACCTGTTGGTATTTTTGTAATTCCCATGACTTCTCACTAAAGAAGTTTCTTTCAAATATGACCTTAATAAAGATTTCCCAAAGATCGTTTTCCAGCTGTGAACAGCCTAATCCAGAGGATCAACCTCAGGAAGCGGCGAGACTCCCTCATCCTAGGTGGTATAATTGGTATCTGTACCATCCTATTGCTGCTGTATGCTTTCCACTGACAGGATCCCTCCAAGAACTCTTGACAACCACCACTTTCACACCTGATCTGGTATAAGGAAAAGAAGAAAGGAGAGTTTGCCTGCCCTGAAAATTAGCCTGACCAGCCAGGTGAATTCAAAACTGATAGTGATGGCTCAGTGACATGGATTGCGCTGAAGCCAGTTTTTCTGTGCTATTTTTTTATAACACACATTTTCCTGGTTTTAGTTTAAAAACAAAAATAGGTTTCAGTTGCTTTTGTCTCCTTAGGAGGTAAGTAAAGCAATCAAAAACAAGAGTTTCTGTGCTTCCGTGGTAGTGTTGAAGCCTGATAACAAGCCAAGTCAGAGAGCTGGACTCTTCGATACCAGGTTTCTCTATACTATCCAAAGACACTTTTTCTGTCAGCCACTGGGTTGGGTTGTGAATAAAAATAATTCCTGTCCTTTTATTTAACACCCATGATGAAAAATCATAGGTTCGGTCTTGACAACCTTGATAGGTTTCTACTTGATATTCCCAACTCTTTTGGTAGTCAAGGAAAATTACATTTTTCACATTCTTTAGACCATCTTCAATGTTTAAGTTGTCTACAACAGAGAAAAAGACTGCAAAAAGACTTTTGTCTTTTTCTTTTCTTTTTTTAAAATTACAAGTGCACTGGGGTTAACTTGCTGGAAAGATGTCAAGGACAGGCCCTTTTTTTTTTTTTTTAAAGGAATCAGCCATTTGCTTTTTTTAAATCCCATTGAATTAATATTTGCTACTATAGGATGATGAAATCTAAGTTCTAACATGACCGAAAAAACAAAAAACTAATGGCCAGCATTTGTCAGTACACCTCATCATGTCAGGATTAGCCCTAGTTACTATTGGTGACTGTTCAGTTTTCAGTGAGATTGTATTCAACAAGTCACATGGAAAAGGACATGGAGGAGTCCACTGTCCAGCTAATTCCATTTGTAAATGCTCCATTACTTTGAAGCAAAAAAATTAAGAACCATTGTTTGATGATCTGTGTTCTGTGAAAATGTATTCCAAATCTGGTAAGGTTTTCCAAACATCTGGAGGATGGTTTCACTGTTGAAGGTGCCTATGACAATCTGTCTGTGTGCCCTTGTCTGCTGTTACCATCCCTGGATAGTGACAAAATTTTAAACTACCATCCCATAACTTTTTTTAAGTTTAAACATTACTAAAAATTCATTGCTTGTATTACTGAAATACCAGATACTTAATTTACACTCCTCCCCAAAGAAAAAGCTGCTATTCCCCATTGGTGTTGAAGATACTTAAGGACTGGCCTTCGACTGCCACCGGGAATGGGTACACTCTTCACTGCAGCGTGATGTGGAGATGCACCTGATACGGTGCATGATGGGTAGACTTAACATGAGTGTGAGAGATTTGTCATTCTAGTGTCGGAGTTTTATTACATTCTGAGTGTAAGGGACATTTGATATATTTTTCTTAACTATGGGATTTATTTTTCTAAATGAAATCCCCTGAAAAGAAAGTTTTAAGTTTGGGCTGGGGATTCAGCTCAGCAGCACAAGCGCCTGCCTGGCAAGTGCGAGGCCTTGAGTTTAATCCCTAGTACCAAAAATAAGTAAAGAAAGTTAAGTTTTCCCAGTGAACCTTAAAGGATCAAGGAAGTAAGTTCAGTTACTGAGTTTTCTTCTGAGAGAACAAAACTTCTCTCCCCTGATACTATTATCTTTGATTTTCAAAGGCCTTTGATTGGTGTAACTCAGCTAGAATTTGTGGGAGTTTGGTTGCTATATAGTTGGCATTTATAAAATCTGAAGTTATCATAAATAAAATTATTTATTTAATTATATTACCAGTCTTTTTTACTGGTCTGATTACTTGGTTTGTTCATTAAAGCTACTATTGTGAGAGTAATCTAGCTTGCTACAGCCAGGCAAAGAAACAGTGGCTGCTAACCCTCTCCAGGAGGGCTGTGCTCATGTGAAATAACAGAATCATGTTGGTTATTTTCTTTATGAAAATAAAGAAACAAGTTCTTCCAAGGAAGTTGGAAAGGCTTGGTGTAAATGTTGGTGTCAGATACGTCTGAATAACCTCTACTCTTACCATAGTGAAGTGTCTCTCTCACCCCAGAGCCGGAGAGTAGGAGGTAATTAAGAGAATGTGCTTCCCATCCCCTTGCAGAAAGGAAATGGAGATAAGCCCTTTAATGGAAGGAGCTTCATGAGGATCCTGTGACTATTGAGTTTCAGTTTTATGCCATTTAACTTTTTGAAAATCATCTTGGTTTTTCTCCCCTTTTCACTGTCTTTCTTACAGACCAGTTGCTAGGCTCAAGATCTCCAAAAGTTAATTACTTGTGTTTTGTTTTTGTTTTTTTTTTGGTACCAGGAATTGAACTCATGACCTTGCGCTTGCCAGGCAGCGCTTATGCCAGTGAGCTAAATCCCTGGCAGTTAGTCACTTGTTAAAGCCAGTCAGAGCCAGAAATTTTGAGGCTTAGCCCAGAGGTCAGAGGAATTTCCCATTTCTGGTCCCAGTGAAATGTTGGTACCTTTAGCCATTGTCTTATATAACAAATCTTTCCTTTTTGAGTCTCTTTAGAAACTATTCAGAACTCTCCATTTCACAAAACAAATATGAATACATCATTCAAACAGTTTTGTTTTGTTTTTGTTTTTGAGATGGCATCTGTCTAAGTTACCCAGGCTGGCCTCAAATATCTTTCTGCTTCAGCCTTTCCGGTAGCTGGGATAACCAGTTGTACCACTGTGCCTGGCTCTGAATGGTATGTTTCTAAGATTGTGTTCTAATGTGTCCTGATGACCTTAGTAAAAGTGTTCATTACCCAAGTTCAAGCCCAGGTATCGAAGAGCTGTAGGTGACCCTTCCTGGCAGTCTCCACGTTCTTTTATTATTACAGTACTATTAATAGTGCTGAGGACACCCTGTAACCTGCATTGTCCCCCTTGTTTTTCTGATGTTAAAAAGGACTTTCTCTACTGTTCCTGTGTCCTTTGTATAAGATTTATCTTTATACAAAATGTTTTTTTTTTTTCCATACTACCTGATATTCCAATTAGGTACAGGAGTAAACCTGTAAGAAAGGAGATGTGTGATGAAAGGAGACCCCTTCAGGGCACTTTCTGTGGAACCAAATAATATTTCCTTTAGCTCTGTCATATTGGATATGAATACGTCTGACTAGAAAAAGGTACTTACCAGGCCTTTTGATGAAGTGATTGGGATCTCCATGGAATTTATTTGCATTCCCACTGTTTTCTCTTTCACTGTTATGACCTTAACCTGATGAAAATGACTTTTAGGAACTGGTATAGTCCTTTGGGTTTCTAGAACCTCATGTTCTAGAAATACGATACGGTTTTGGAAATTGATTAGAGTTTTCTAACTAGTAGTACTAAGCTGTTGGGGATAAATGGCCATGTTGAGTTTTTTGGCAATTGTAACTAAAGAACAAATGAATTCTACGTAAATTACAGTGGTTATGTTCCATTCTCCTTTTAGGTTAGGGATTATTTATCCTCGCCTCCAAAAAGGTGCAGACCTTTTTAAATTACAGTCTTAATAAACTAACCTTACTTATTCCATTTTACGTGTTTATTCCTCTATATTCTTACATTTCATAGGGGGAAAAATGAGGAACAAGCGAATATTAAGGTTTTTTATTGAATAGGAAGCTGAGACAAAGCTAAGTTATGTCCAAAGGGATCTTTCTCATTTTGTTTGATACCTAACCTAAATTATCAAAGTTATTTGCATCAGTTCCCACCCTGTTGGCTCTTGAGAGAAGAAGAAAATTAATTCAGTCTCATTTTACACTAGTGAAAGATCATTCCTCATGAAAAATGCCAATATAAATTTTTAAAAGTCTATTCTTTTCTAAATGCACTTTCTAATTTTTTGCTTTTAAAATAGCTTCTTGGAACCAATTTTGTTGTATTTATACTTAATTTTTGTTCTCATCTAAATGTGCATTTTCTGATTGTATAGAAAAAGCTTTGTTATTTAATAATAAATTAAATATCTAAATGGTTGTGCCTATGATTATTTGTGTTAGAACAGTAACCACTGAGGCAGTTTGGGAACAGTGAGTATGAAATATTTGGTGTTGGTAAGTATCTCTCACGATACCTTAACATCCGGGAGGAAACAGTACAGGTACTCACAAATTATTACCCAGTGTTCAGAAACCACCTTACAAGCAGTCCATCAATATTTTAGCCCAAGGAGTAAAAGAAAGTCTTTCTATCAGCTTGAAGAGGAGATATGATAAAAATTGTATAATTTGACCAAAAAACAAGTTCTTTGCCTCCTTAAACAGTGACTTTTGTCCTGTAAATCAGAACTTGAAAATAGGAATAACTGATTTCTCATTACCTATGGAGTCTGCAGTCTCTTTTTGAAATAACAATACAGGGGTGTAGTTCAATGGTACTTGCCTCGCATGCCCGGGGCCTTGGGTTTGATCCCAGTACTCCAAAATAAATAAATTAAAAGACACTGAAGCATGATTATGTACCATGAAATTTGCCTTTTTCGAAACACATGGGTTTTAGTATATTTGTTGTGCAATGAGCACCACTGTCTGGCTTCAGAACATTTCTGTCTTCCATCAAGAAGAAACCCTGTACCCTTAGGAATTACTCCACACCCCATTCTTGTCCTTTCTGTCTGTACATACTATTTTCTACCTCCCAGTACCCCAGCTTTACCCTTGGGGATCCCATCCTGTATATGTGCACACATCCATGTAGACATACAAATAACTCAGCATCATTTAGTGAAGGAGCCATCCCATTTTACAGATAAGGAAACAGGACAGGGGTTAAGAAATTTGCTCATAATAATGGAATAAATATTTAAGTAAGGATTTGAATCTTGGAAGCTTTTTTCTCCTTTCTGTTGTGGGATGAAACCCAGAACCTTGCCCGTGCTGGGAAAGCACCCTATGTCCCACAAGCCCTTGAGGTCTCTTGCTGGTAAATATCACAGGTTCCACAAAATATATTTTTAATTTAAAAGGTGGTCATCTAGAACCTACTTGAAGCTTTGTAGCTTGATTATTTTCTTTTTAAAGAGGAATACTGATTTAAGGTCAACTCTAGCTATTATTATTCGGCCTGAAAATCAGCAAAAACTGTTGAGACAAGGCACAATTGTCCCCATACTTGTCATGTGGCTCCACTTACAAAAAAAATTTTTTTAATGAAAATATTAACATAAAAATAGAAGTCAGATTTTTTTTAAAAATGTATATAAAGCCCAAGAAACTTGTCAGTTTTTCCGTATTCTACAAAACAGCACCAACAAGAAGAGTAAAAAGGTGTTAAAAGTCATTGCAACAGCATTTTTAAAATGCAGCTTGCCTTATCTCCCACCCCCTTAAAAAAATGATGTATTATGGAGTGAAAAATGATTTTAAAATCTCTGGAAGGAGCGTCAAGCTTTTATCCCTACCATCTCTTTGAGTGTGAGAATGCTTCTGATTCTAGCTGTCCGTGCTTCATGAGAACAGATGAGGAATCAGGGTTTCAGGCTTCTCACAGGACCTGTGCCTATGGAGGGTGCATCTCTGGGGAGAGTTTTTGTTTGTTTGTTTGTTTGTTTTTCTGCCTTTTTTTTTTTTTTTTTTTTTTTTAGACAGGCTCTCACTATGTAGCCTCTAACCCACAGTGATCCTCCTGCCTCAGCCAAGTGCTGGGATCACAGGTGTGCACCACCACGCCTGGCTGTTTTAAGGAATACTAGTAGCCAAGTGCTTAATAAAGAGAACCTGTGAGTTAACAGTTCTTTATGAGGACTAATGGGTTAGTGCATTGAAGTTACAAAAAATGTATTTGAAGTCCTACCAATCTCTTCATAGCCTGTAGTTCTGAACCTCAAAATTCTGGCAAGCACTGGGGCCAGGCCTGGTGAAGCCGTTGCCACAGCTCTCTAGTTGGCACCATCCACATCATTAGGTTGCTGCTCCTGTTTGATTTGCCCTTTCCACTCTGTCCAGCACCCTCTTACCTGCTGTTAGAAATTCCTAGAAGTGGAGAATCTTACTGAAAATATTTCTGTAAAAGCCAGAAAAATAAATACCTTCCTAAAGCAAAATATCCATCTGAGTTGAATAGAAAGGAACAAATGCAACCCTGGCTGTGATTTCTGCTCTACTCACCGGGGCTCAACCCATCTGCTCAGCTTCCAGGCTTGATTTTATTATTACCTCTTCAAAGACTTTAAAAATCTCAGAAGAGTGGATGCTGAGAAGTCTAATTTTCTGCCTAGAGAAATACTGAAGATCACTTGAAAGTATTCCGGCCCTCTAAAATGGGTCTTTTATCTGTTCTGGGGTATTAGTTTTCCCCTTTTAGAGAGACAGCTTTTAGGAAATAATCACTTTCTTAACTAGTACATTTCTTCTAGATATTATCAAATATCCAATCTTTTACAGAAACTGCCTACAGCCCAAGGAGAAACGGGAATATAACTGGGAGCCACTTTAACCCAGTGCTGGGAAGGCGCAGCATAAACAACCATTTCCCTGGAAATGCTGTTATCTGTGAATAAAGTGGCACTTTGGATTTTTCACCCGGAGCAGGTCCTCAGCCCCTGTCCATTTCCCTCCGCGTTCCCCACTGCATATCCCACAAGTTATGTCCATGCTTCAGGACCTAACTAGCGGCCACTGAGAGCAGATGTCCCACCTCAAACTTCCCTTGATACCACCCTGCACCGAGGGCCTCAGTACGCCCTAACGACCTACAGCCCGTCATCACTGTTTAAGAATGTCAGCCGCTCCCTGATGGCTACAGCAGTGTATTGTAGGAGACTTAACCCAAAAATGTATGCCGTTCATTTTTTGTTAGTATGTACATAAAAACAGTCGGGCCATGGGTTTAGCTCAGTGGCATAAGCACCTATCTGCCAAACACAAGACCATGAGTTCAATCCCCAGTACCAAAACAAACAAAAACACAAAGTCATCTTTCACTCAGGTTAGATTTCTATTTTAAAGAGAATAAAACAAACCAGTGTAAGAGATACAGGACTTCAAAACATTATGAAATCAACAATAGTTATCATAATGCCTTTTGATGTCTTCAAAATAACTGCAGATAACTTTGGACACAGTAAAAATCAAACAATAGAATAGAAACAAAAACAAACAATGAATGCAATAAAGGACTTGAAACAACAATTCAGGAGGCGGGGTAGTACTCCTCATTTGCCAGCCTACGCTCCAGAAGGGGCTGGAGGTCTGGCCGTTCTAGTCTAGCAGTGTGGGGCCCACACGTGGTGCTGGTTCCCAGACTGGACTTACTTGCTGGTGTGGCCTTGTTTTCTCTACACTCCTTAGATTTCTTATTTTACAGATGAGAAAACAAACCTAAGAGATGAAATATTTTGTTCACAAGGTTCTCCTGATAGCAGTAGCTGGTCTCAACCAGTCTCCCCTTATGAATAACATACAGGGCTCGGAGATTTAGCTCAGTGGTGTAAGCACCTGCCTAGCAAGTGCAAGGTCATGAGTTCAATCCCTGGTTAAAAAAAAAAAAAAAAAAAAAAAAAACTGCCAGATTGTCGATGTCCGCTCCCGGCCGGCAGGAAGGACACACGACAAAGCCTGGCAGTGGACAACCTTTTCTTTTATTTTCCTTCTCCGTACAGCCTGCCCTGGGATCGCTCCCAGCCGAAGCCTCCTTTGGTCCGCTCCCCGCGGCTCCTTCTGGGCTTCTACTTCCGGGCTTCTTCTTCCCCCCCAGGGGTGGCACCAGTATATATACGGATACAGTGTCCAATCATGTTAAAGTGAGCAAGGCAAGCTGATTGGCTAACATCATCAGTTGCCAGGCAGACTATATTGTTGAGCGGGTTGCTTACGCGGTAAGCAGGAAACTAACGTGCTCGATGGGAGGGGTAATCTACCTCAGGCTTTACTCTTTACTACAGGCCTCACGTCCGCCAAGTGAGGCGACCGGGCTCGGGGCTGCGGCTCCCAACATCTCCCCCTTTTTTATTTTTTTTTATAAATGTGCGCATCGTAGCCCTTCCTGGACTGGGTGCAGAGGCTTATGCCCTATGCGTAGGCCCACCGTAGGTCCTTGGCTTAGACCCTGGTCGGCCGTCCCATGGTCTGCCAAGGCCCTGAGGCCCTCGTCCTTTTTCTAGGGCCAGGCACAAACTGGACGGAACCTGGATGCACACAAGCTTGCACTCATTTCCTCTCCGTAAAGAAATCCCCTCGGAGAGAAATTTAGACCTGGGCAGCATCTAACAGTCCAGCGGCTTACGTGCAGGATGGGGTAGGGCCTGGCTTAGGTTGAGTCGCACCGGGGGAGTACGCTCTTACCCGTCATTGACTCTCCTACCCAGCTATGTCATAATTTTTTAGAGGAGGAGTGTGGGAAGCTCACCACCTCTAGACTCGGTCGTAGGCTAGGCGAGCGAGCCATGCATATGCCTGAGGATCTTCTTGTCCATTTCGGGCTATCGCTATTTCTATTCATCTTGTTGGTTGGTCTGTGATGGATCTCCGGTAGGGCAGGTCTGATCTTCAGTCGAGGGCTTTGTCGCCCGTGTCAGTCTCTCCGGTACCCACAGTGGTTCTCGTCCCGATTCCTGTGGGAAAACACAAACCGCGCCTCGGTTCCAGCTGACCACTGGATCCGGGCCCATCCATTGTCCTGTCATAGATAACCGCGCCTTTGGAGGCAGGCCTTGGCCTACTCCCCCTTTTTGTTTTTGTAAAATTTCTTTGAGGCTTCTATGAGCCCTCTCAATGATTCCTTGACCTTGGGGATTGTATGGGATACCATGTTTTAATTGAACCTCCATCATTTTGCAGAACTCATTGAAGGCTTTGCCTATATAGGCTGGTCCATTATCAGTTTTTAATATTTTTGGTTTGCCCCATGCGGCCCAAGCCGCCAGGCAATGATTGATCACATTAGACACTTTTTCACCTGTTTCTGCTGTTGCGAATATGACGTGAGAACAGGTGTCTGTGGAAACATGAACGTATTTAAGAGTCCCAAACTCCT